TTTTCAGTTGTTATGGTGTCCTTTGATAAACAAAATTTTTACATTTTATCAATTGAATTTATCAATCTATTTTTTTTAAATCCTCACTTGAGGATATTTTTTCCATTGATGATGTTTAGAGAATGAAAGGGAGGCAAGAGAAACATCAAAATGAGAGAGAGACATCAATTGGTTGCCTCCCAATTGGGGCTGGGGATCAAACCTGCAACTGTGGTATGTGCCCTTGACTAGGAATCAAATCTAAGACCCTTCGGTCTGCAGGCTGATGCTCTAACCACTGAGCAAACAGCCAGGGCTACCAATCATTTGTTTATGCTTTGTACTTTTTTGTGTGCCTTAAGAGTTCTAAAAAATTTAAATTCTTTATTGTTGAAAGTATTACATATGTCTCCTTTTTTCCCTATTGACCTCTCCCCAGCACATTGCCCCCACCCCCTAGTGTCTGTGACCATTGGTTATGCTCACATGCATGCATACAGGTCCTTTGATTGATCCCTTAACTCCCCTCCCCCCGCCAACTACCCTATTAGGATGGACAGTCTGTTCCATGCTTCTGGCTCTATTTTTGTTCATCAGTTTATGTTGTTCATTATATTCCACAAATGAGTGAGATCATGTGATATTTATCTTTCTCTGATCCGCTTATTTCACTTAGCATAATGCTCTCCATGCTGTTGCAAATAAGAATTCCTTCTTTAAAAAAAAAAAAAAGAATTCCTTCTTTTGTACAGCAGTGTAGTATTCCATTGTGTAGATGTACCACAGTTTTTTAATCCACTCATCTGCTGATTGGCACTTAGGCTGTTGTTCCCTTTTCTCCACATCCACGCCCACACTTGTCATTTGTTGATTTGTTTATGATAGCCATTCTGACAGGTGTAAGATGGTACCTCATTGTTGTTTTGATTTCCATCTCTCGAATGATTTGTGACTTTGAGCATATTTTCATGTCTCTTGGCCTTCTGTATGTCCTCTTTCGAAAAGTATCTATTTAGGTCCTTTGCCCATTTTTAAAAAAATATTTTTATTGATTTCAGAGAGGAAGGGAGAGGGGGAGAGATAGAAACATCAATGATGAGAATCATTGATTGGCTGCCTCCTGGATGCCCCCTATTGGGGATAGAGCCCTTAACCAGGGCATGTGCCCAATTGGAATTGAACCTGGGACCCTTCAGTCAGCAGGCTGACACTCCAACCATTGAGCCAAACCAGCAAAGGCTGCCCATTTTTTATTAGATTATCTTCCTTTTGTTAAGTTGTATAAGTTTCCTGTAAATTTTGGAGATTAAACGCTTATTGGAGATAACATTGGCAAATATGTTCTCCCATGCAGTGGGCTTTCTTGTTGTTTTGTTGATGGTTTCTTTTGCTGTGCAGAAGCCTTTTATTTTGATGCAGTCCCATTTGTTTATTTTCTCCTTACTTTCCATTGTCCTAGGACAGTGATGGCGAACCTTTTGAGCTCGGCGTGTCAGCATTTTGAAAAACCCTAACTTAACTCTGGTGTTGTGTCACATATAGAAATTTTTTGATATTTTCAACCATAGTAAAACAAAGACTTATATTTTTGATATTTATTTTATATATTTAAATGCCATTTAAGAAAAATCAACCCCAAAAATGAGTTAGCGCATCACCTCTGACACGCGTGTCATAGGTTCGCCATCACTGCTCTAAGTCCAGAACAGAGCCTCAGATTTTACCTGTGCAATAAGACCCCCCAGAGTAATGGCACCTGCAACAGAGGAAATGGAGAGAACAAGGAGGGAAAAAAAGGAAGATAATTTACTCCAAAGTCTAAGGATGGGTTGGCTTGAGTTGCTGGGTGTTTTTGGGCCAACTAGGGCTCCTTGAAAGACAGGTAGGAGAGGAGCAGATAGGAATAGAGTTGTAGACCAGGAAAATGAACAGCCCACATCTATGCATCTTGTGACTGTAATCTTGACATGTAGCCCAATCAGACTTGGAAAATAACCCAGTGAGGGGGGAAGTGAGTTTCCTTAGATTAGAATCCTCATCTTGGGGAGTTGTGGGGGTGGGGAAGCTGTGAGATGACCCAAGAGTGCCCCCTAAAGGCCAATAGTTAGTTTTGCTATTATTCAGCCCAGACCTCCACCCAACCAGAATTCATGAGTATTTAGTGAGAAATTGGGACAGGACTATACGCAAGGGTTCGTTTTATTTTCGTCAAAATAAAACGAACATTTTAAGTTAAAATCACCCAGCTCCAAAACAGGTAAAGATGACATCAACCATTCAGCTTGGCCTAGCTTCCTTTTTTAAAAAAATCTATTTTTATTGGTTTCAGAGAAGGGAGAGGGAGAGATAGAAACATCGATGAGAATTATTGATGGCTGCCTCCTGCTAGATCCCCAGCTGGGAACTGAATCGTGATCTCCTAGGTCAGTGGTCGGCAAACTGCGGCTCGTGAGCCACATGCGGCTCTTTGGCCCCTTGAGTGCCACGAAGTTTCAATCGCACTGTACATGTGTGCCCGCACGTGGTATTTTGTGGAAGAGCCACACTCAAGGGGCCAAAGAGCCGCATGTGGCTTGCGAGCCGCAGTTTGCTGACCACAGTCCTAGGTCCACACTCAACCAGTGAGCCACCACGGCCGGGGCTGGCCTAGCTTTCTAACTACTGGCCAACACAATCATTTGGGACACAAAATGCTTTGTGATTTATAGCGAAAACACTCTGCCTTCCCCATACACTCCCTCGGCCCACAGTGCATGTGCTGACGGTCACTGGAGGCCTTTGTCTGGGGTGGTGGGCAGAAACAGAAGCTGCCCTCAGGGAGGAGTGGCCAAGGAGGCTGGAGCCTAACCTCCCAGGAAAAAGCTGCAGTGAATTCTCAGATTAGGTGAGAACTAGCTCTAGGACAAAGAAATTAGAGTGAATCCCCAAGATCAGAACCAGGTGCCACGGCCTGGGCTTTTTCATCTGTGCAAGAACAAAACATAAAACAAGATCCTGGTGGAGATGGAGAGTGGGGCAGAGCAGCCTCATGGCCACAGGAGTGACAGCAGAGGCGGTGACTTTGCGGCATCTGCCAGGTGCTCAGTGGAGCCGATGTGGGCGGTGTGGGGAAACTGTCCTGAGCTCTGGGGGCAGAAGAGATTTTGATGCCAATACTTACATTAGCAAGCAGCAGACTCAGCCACGGAAACGGACCGTGAGAGCCCTCAGCACCCCTCCCCCAGGCTGTGCTTTGATTCTGCTCCCTCACTCTCTACCTGGGGCTGGGGAAATACCATTCTAGTGTGAAAGCAAGTCTGTTTACTGTTTAAATAAATCTTCCCCAGGGCACCCCCAAGGTGTATTCTGGCTGGGCTCGGAGGAGGTGGGGCTGCCAGCTGCCGCCTGTGGCTTCCCAGGCCCTGAACCTACAGTCAATGCTCTGGGAAGGTGCCTGGCGGGCACTGCCAGGTGGGGAGATTAACACTCATTGCTCCTAAGAGGACTCCATCCTGCCTGTGTCCTTGCAGACCCAAGTTTCCAGACCATCACTTTCCGTCTGAATTCTAATAACTTCCCACATGTAAACAGCCACAGCATCTAACAACCAAAAGGGGCATCACCTATTAATGCTCTCATTTTACAGATAAACTGGCCCGGCGTGGGTAGTTACCCTGCCCAGCACGATAGGGAAGAGCTCGGTCGTTCCCCCACATGCACCGTCGAAGGCTTCTTCACAGCCTCCTAGGTTAGGCAGGAGTTTGGTGGCACCACCTGAAAGCCCTGAGCAGTGCTTGGTGGGAGGGCCTGCTCTTTGCCACAGCCTCTCAGGAAACAACTGGCCCCTACAGCCCTGCCGGAGCTCCGCTGAGCTTAGAACAAGGCTGCTGGCATCTTCCCTGGCTCAACTTTGGGCCTTAGCTCTAATTCCAGGTCACAAGATCAAGTTCTTTATGTGCATTATCATATATACATATACACCGAGTGGCCAGATTATTATGACCACCTGATGTTTGTAGGCAAATTAGTCGTACACTGCATCGTATGGGATATGGAAGCCGAAGGCCTGTTCGAACATCTTTGCTGCCTACAGTTACCAAGATAAAATGTCTCCAATTCGCACAGGAACACAAGAATTTGACAGTCGAGCATTGGAAAAAAAGTCATGTGGTCCGATGAATCACATTTCCAGTTGCATCATGTAGACGGCAGAGTGAGAATTGGGCAGAAACAGCATGAAAGCATGCACCCCACATTCATGAGCACAGCCCTTCAAGCTGGTGAGGGCAGTGTTATGGTTTGGGGCATGTTTTCCTGGCATGATTTGGGCCCTTTAATTCGTGTGGAACAACGTCTGAATAGTACAACATACCTAAGTATCATTGCTGATGGACAGTGCTATTCATCAGGCATGGTGTCAGATTCCTCGCATCACCTTTCAACATCTCGTGGGGTCAATGCCAAGAAGAATCGCCGCAGTACTGAAGGCAAAAGGTGGCCCAATGAAGTACTGATGGGGTGGTCATAAGAATCTGGTCACTCAGTGTGTGTGTGTGTGTGTGTGTAATTTTTTTTTCATTATCACATATATTAACTCCTGCTTTTCAGAAGTGGTTTTCCAGATTATAAGCACTGGTTCCATGTGAGATAAATGCTCTGAGGCTTTAATCCTGCCAACAAGGGGGTGGGTGGAGGAAAATTCACCAAAGGATAGTGGCCTTTCTTCCTGGCCTATAGCTCCCAGGGCAGCTGGAATGAGACTAAAGGGAGTTCTAGACCTGAGATGCCTATGTCTGCTGGAGTCTCTGGGTCTGCCCGGAGGGTACAGACACCCTCTCCACAAAGCCCATGATAGGGCTCTTGGCCTGTCCCCTGTGTTTCCAAAAAAAGGGACACATTTCAGCCTCACAGCCCATTTCCTTTGACTGACCATTTTAGATTGCGGCTTCCCATGCACTTCAGGGGAGACATGGCACAGCTCCATATGGGAAAGAAATGACCCTCTATGGCTTGTTTTACGCGGAGTCAATAAGAATATATATAAAAAGAAGTTATTTATTTCCTAAAAGTATAAAAACACAAACAAAAAGGGACTCTTATCTAGAACAAGAAATTATAATGTTATAACAAACACTCCTGTGGGCAAGGCCACTGTAAAGAAAGTATTGCTCCCAAAACATTAATAATCTTACCACTGTGCCCCGGACTCTTTAGAAGGTTACTACTTCTAAATTACACATGGACAAAGAGTTTGTTTTATTGAACCAGACTCAAAAAGTAAGAGTTACACTTCTTCAGGTTGATAAAATAAAATTCCACGGCTCTGAAGAAAATAATCTATGTCAGTCCCAGGGAACTTTTCTCCCCAAGAGTTGATTGGTCACTTTCTGTGGAAGAAAAGACAGGCAGGAAAGAAGTTAGCAACCCTTGTGACCAGGCAGACAGGCACTGCTTCCCGCGGACATGGCACTGAAGACCAAACCTTGTTCACCTTCCCCAGCTACAGAAACTATGGTAATTATATGAAAAATACTTCCTGCACTGTTTAGGAAAGATGATCTATAATCAATATCTATTATTTCTGTATCGATGCAGATACTCTATAATCCCGATAGACTAATCCTTCCATCAGTTCGCAAACACACAAGTACAGTGAGAGCCTGATGCAGTGCAGGGGCCTCCGCACCTGAGCAGGCCCGGCCCGGACTCTGGGAAGTGCTCCAGAGGCATTTTCCACCCACAGCGTCTGGGGTGAATGTGTCTTTTGGTTTCTGACTTGCAGCATCCTCTTGGGTGAAGTAAGGGGGTTGGGAAGGAAACCAGGACAATGAAGGATGTGGGCCGTTGGCACTGTAGCCCGTTTCATTTCTCAAGGAGTAAATTGCTAGCAAGTGTCCTTACCCGTGAGGTTCTGGGACCCACAGCACCACTGATTCCACGGGAGCGATGGGCAGGACATGGTGCTGGCGTCGCGGCTCTGACAACTCTTAAGCTACACACAGACGTTTTCCAGCCTTTTATAAAACTACCATCTGGGACGTTGGAATAAAAACACAATCCTACTGGATTTGACCATTTCTACCATAACGTACATCTAAACTGACCCCTAAGGATGAAATTTGGTTTCCTTCCAAATGTATGCCTGGAAGGGGCCTTTTTTAGGTTTGGTTTTTTTTTTTAGATTTGAAATCTAGTCATAGGGGCCTCTATCTTCCAAATGTCAGCAGCATCATGAGCTTAAGTTCACTCCCCAAATGCAGTTAATTCAAACAGGTCAGGTGTGCTTCACTCAGTTTTTCTTCCTTGGTAACCTGACCAACCCCGCTCTGGGGCTGACTGACCTTTTTATACAGCTGGGCTCGCAACCGGTACGACTTATATTCCAATCTCCTCCTTTCCTCTTCTCTCCTTTTCTGTACTTCTGGGAGCTGCTCATAAATCCTTAGGAAAGACAGGAAGCAGTGAGGTTACCAGACCATAGAGGCACATGATGTCTTCTCACCAATCTCCCTACATTCTACCCTCTCAAGGCATCCAGTCCCTCAGACAAGCCTGGCCCATAATGAGCCGAGCTTCCTGTTAGACACTTGAACACAAAGAACTCTGGCCTGGGGTGTTTATGATCTGGAAGGGGAGACAGATAAAGAAAAATACATTAGCCCGCCAGCGTGGCTCAGTGATTGAGCGTCGACCTATGAACCAGGAGGTCAAGGTTCAATTCTTGGTCAGGGCACATATCCCGGGTTGCAGGCTCAATCCCCAGTGTGGGGCAGCCTAAACATAAGGGAAATGACAGAGGGAAAGTACAATCATGGTCACATCTCCAAAAGGTGACACAGTATTACGGGAAAAGAAGAAACTTATTCTGAGTGAAGTAGGTCAGGGAGGGCCAGAGAAGACATTAAGCTTGAGGTGGGTCTTGAAAAATAGGAGCAGAAAGGGGATGGAAGGAGAAGGGAGCACGGGCAAGTCAAAGCTGCACAGAGTGTGGGGAGCAGGTGGGGAGGGAGGTGGGTACGGAGGGCCTCACTGCAATGTGCAAGCCTGGGCTCTGTCCTCTCAGGGATGGGGAGGAACATGGTCAAACATGCACTTGATAAATGTTCTCTAATTAGAAATAATCTAAATTTCTAATAAAAACAGCTACACAGATGATGGAATATAATGGAATTATTATAAAGCATAAAAAAGGAACAAGTATACACTTTAAAAGTCACTGTTCATTAAAATACAATGAAATATCACCTCACACCTGTTAGAATGGCTGTTATTAAAACAACAGCTGAGAGATAACAAATGCTGGTGAGGATGCAGAGAAAAGGGAACCCTGTGCACTGTCAGTGAAACGTAGGTTGGTGTGGCTACTCTGGAGAACAGCACACACAGAACTACCCTATGACCCAGCAATGACACTGCTGGGTGTTTATCCAAAGGAGAGGAACTCACAATCTCAAAGAGATAGCTGCACCTTCATATTTACTGCAGGATTATTACCGAAGTGAAGACATGGAAACAACCTAAGTATCCATCAATGGATGAATGAATGAATAAAGCGACATATGTGTATATACAAACACACACATATTTATAAAAATATAAAATGGGGTATTAGTCAGCCTCAAAAAAGGTATTCCTTCCATTTACAACAGCATGGATGGACCTTGAGAGCAATATACTAAGTTCAATAAGTCAGAAACTGTGTGATCTCACCTATGTGTTGAATCTAAAAACATCAGACTCAGAAACAGAGAACAGCATGATGGTTGCCAAGGGCTGAGGAGATGGGACAATGGGGAGATGTTGGTCAAAGGGCACAAACTTCCAGTTATAAGATGAAAAAGTTGCCGAAACCGGTTTGGCTCAGTGGATAGAGCGTCGGCCTGCGGACTGAAAGGTCCCGGGTTCGATTCCGGTCAAGGGCATGTACCTGGGTTGCGGGCACGTCCCCAGTGGGAGATGTGCAGGAGGCAGCTGATCGATGTTTCTCTCTCATCGATGTTTCTGGCTCTCTATCTCTCTCTCTTCCTCTCTGTAAAAGTTCAATAAAATATATTAAAAAAAAAAAAAGATGAAAAAGTTCCTGGGACCTATGTACAGCAAAGTGACTCTAGTTAACAATACTGTACTGTATACTTGGAAGTTATTCTGAGAATAGAGCTTTAATGCTCTCAGCATAACAACAACAAAATGGTAATTATGTTAACTAATCTTACTGTGATAACATTTTCATATATGACATTTTCAGCTGTCTCCTGCACACCCCCTACTGAGGATGTGCCTGCAACCAAGGTACGGTTGCCCTTGACCGGAATTGAACCCAGGACTCTTCAGTCCCTAGGCTGACGCTCTATCCAGTGTGCCAAGCTGGCCAGGGCTCCTTTATACTCGTAAAGCTTGAGGCCAATATTGGTCAATGTGAATTTTATCTATTGAGATCTGTATTAGAAATTAAAACTGAACATTTTAAAAGTATTTATTTCTTATTTTTCCACTGATTTTTAGAGAGTGGAACACAGAGGGAGAGACAGAGAGAAATATCGATGTGAGAGAAACACATCGATTGGTTGCCTCTGCACAAGCCCCGACCAGGGCCCAGTCCAGGGAGGAGCCTGCAACCGAGGTATGTGCCCTTGACCAGAATGGAACCCCTCTATCTCCCTTCCACTCTACTCTCTCTATAGATATCAATGGAAAAAATATCCTTGGGTGAGGATTAAAAGAAAAGAAAACAAAACCTTCTAGACCAGCACAGTCTCAAATAGTGTTAAGGCATCAACAGTTTTATTCCTCCCCCATTACTTTTGCATCATCAGTGCAAATGTCCACACACTGAAAAACGCAGTAACATTCTAGTATGATTTTGAGATTCATTTTGACCTGGCAAATCCCCTGAAAGGGCCTCAGCAAATACCAAAGGTCTACAACCACACTCCAAGAACTCCGCGACTAAAGCATCCCTTTGAAGTACCAATAAGGAAAGGGTTTACTAAATGGAGAGTAAAAACAAAATTTTAGGAGGAATGCTTTAAACATCTAAGATAAACTGTTATCAAGCATTCTGCTGGCTATAAAACTGTTCTTATTTAAGGAGGTAGCTAATGAACCCCTAAATCACTGATGGCGGACACGTGAACTCATTTATTTGGTTGATTTTTCTTTGTTAAATGGCATTTAAATATCCTAATAAAAGAGAAACATGGTAATTGACGTACGACTGCTACCCTTCCCATTGGCTAATCAGGGGTGATATGCAAATTAACTGCCAGCCAAGATGGCGGCCGGCAGCCAGGCAGCTTAAACTGAACATGAGGCTTCCTTGCTTCAGTGACGGAGGACTGCAACATTCCCAGCCTGCCTTGCCAGCCTCTGAGCCTGCAGTTTAAGAAACATAGTAACAAATATAGACGCTAATCAAATCCCCAGAAGCCAGCTTTCAGGGAGCTGGGATCTCAGAGCTGGAGTTGATACAGAGTTTTGATTATAGAACCGAAACAAACCAGATACCTGCTTTCAGAAGCGGAAGCCTCAGAGCTGGAGCCAGGCTAAAGCTGGCCCAGAATTAAAAAAAAAGAAAAGAAAAAAGGAGCAGTTGGGAGCTTCAGTCACAGCCTGAAAACAGCCCTCAGCCCCTCACCCAGACTGGCCAGGCACCCCAGTGGGGACCCCCACCCTGATCCAGGACACCCTTCAGGGCAACCCAGCCAGCCCCCACCAGGCCTCTATTCTATATAGTAAAAGGGTACTATGCCTCCCAGCACCAGGATCAGTGTGACAGGGGGCAGCACCCCAACCCCGACTGGCCTTGCTCTGTGCATGACAGGGGGCGGCGCCCCAACTCCCCAATCGGCCCTGCTCTGAGCCCGACCAGGGGCTGCACCTAGGGATAAGGCCTGCCCTCTGCCACCCGGGAGCAGGCCTAAGCCAGCAGGTTGTTATCTCCCGAGGGGTCCCAGACTGTGAGAGGGCACAGGCCGGGCTGAGGGACCCCCCCTCTCCACCCCGAGTGCACAAATTTTTGTGCACAGGACCTCTAGTATAAAATAAATATCAAAAATATAAATCTTTGTTTTACTATGGTTGCAAATATCAAAAAATTTCTATATGTGACACGGCACCAGAGTTAAGTTAGGGTTTTTCAAAATGCTGACATGCCAAGCTCAAAAGATTCACCATCACTGGCCTAAATGGTAACTCTTAATTTAGTTATTCCATGGCATTCTCATGATCAATATATGCATATCTCTAATGAGTGGCTAACACACACAATGACACAAAATTAAAAAAGTATCTAAAGGCAAAAAATTAGTCTTTCTCCTACCCAATCACTCAGTTCTTTTTCCCAAAGGCAACCATTATTATCAGTTTTTTGTGTACCCTTGCAGAGATATCCTATGCATATAAAGTGTTTGCCTCTACAGAAGCCCAGATACTTAAAGACTATAAATACTGGCATGTACACGTGCTTCTGAAACCTTTTTTTCAAGCTTAACTTAATGTGTATTGGACAATACTCCATTATTTCTTACTGAACTGAATAGATTTCTAGAAACAGGATGGACTGGATAAAAGGCCCCAAATAAATATTTATTTCAAAATACTCTATATTTAGGTTTCTAATAAGGATGAGCTTGACTAAGGCACACAAATTAGTGGGAATTCTTTTAAAAAAAAATGTATTTTATTGGTTTTTTACAGAGAAGAAGGGAGAGGGATAGAGTCAGAAACATCGATGAGATAGAAACATCGATCAGCTGCCTCCTGCACACTCCCCACTGGGTATGTGCCCGCAACCAAGGTACATGCCCTTGACCGGAATCGAACCTGGGACCCTTGAGTCCGCAGGCCGACGCTCCATCCACTGAGCCAAACCGGCCAGGGCTCTTTCTATCTTTGGTAGATGAGTCATTCATACCACGATCTGCTACCTATTCTCTTTTTTAGTGTCATACATGAGGAACTACTTTCACAACTAATTTTTTATGTTTTAACTTGAGCAGAATGCCTTTATTCTGAAGGCAAGCTAGAGCTCTTGATTACTTGCTGGCCTGATTTGTACTTCTCTAATTACTCTTATTCTTTTGGCCTTACCGTTTAGACCTCTGAATCATTTCCTTCTTTCCAACAGGCTTATACTTCTGGGCAGCCAGGAAACCTAAGCAAGAGAAAAAGGGGTTTACAGTGAATAGTGACATAACAAGGAAGGGTGTGGTATGCAAGAGCGGTGTGACAGAGTTGCTAGGACTCTGAGGTCCTACTATGAGCTGACAGTGCTAGGTGGTTACCAACGGTGAAGGCCAAGGCCAAGGTTAAACTGTGATAACTGACAGCAGCCTAAGTCTCCTGAAGGCGCAACACTGTGGCACAGACTAGACTAGGAATTGATACACTGCCCCGTTTACAGGTAATGTGATGAAAGTGTTGGGTACTTTATAGAGTTTTCACAGCTTTCAAATATTACTTTCATCTTACACCTGAGCATAACTGTGAAGAGCACTGATTCTGGAGCCAGCCCACCTGGGTTCAAACCTCAGCTTAGTAGGTACTTAATCTCTTAGCCTTTGTTTTCTTATCTCTAAAATAGGGATATTAATAGGATCTACCTCAGGAAGTATTGCAAATATTAAATGCCAACAATGTCTGAGTAAAACATAAGGGCTACATAATTATTACTTTTTATTTTTTAATGTATTTTTATTGATTTCAGAGGGGAAAGGAGAGGGAGAGAGAGATAGAAACATCAATGATGAAAGAGAATTATTGATCAGCTGCCTCTTGCATGCCCCACACTGGGGATTGAGCCTGCAACCCAGGCATGTGTCCTGACCAGGAATTGAACCGCGATCTCCTGGTTCATAGGTTGACGCTCAACCACTGAGCCATGCTGGCCAGGCCATAACTATTATTTTAATTACCAACACTACTACTTCTATTATTATTATTATTATTATTATTATTATTGCCACCCTATGAAGTAGACAAGCCTGAAATCAGCCCCCTCTTTAACGAAAGAAACGAACAAACATAATACTACTTTTGGAACTAACTTGCTCACAGACACAGAGATTGTTTATAAAAACACCTTCTTACTGTACACTCTCGTTTTTAAGATGCAGTGATAGGGCAAGAGAAACTGGGTTCATTTGGATCATGAAAGTACTAAGAGCTAAACTGGGTTCTGTGACCTCAGGAGATATAAGTCTCAGCAAGCAAAGAAGTCTGTCTGTCTGTCCATGTAACTGGCCTGGCGTTGAGCAGTGCTTCTCCCAGCAAGAAGCAGACCTTAGAAAAAAGCAGACCTTGACCTCTGTACCCAGGAAAGGAAAGTGCAGCATGTACCTCTCTTAGAAAACAGGTGCACGGCGTCCCCCTGGCCCTGCCATTCTCGCCCAGTGTTGAACAGTGTCTCCCGCTCACTTTGTAACACGTTCTGTAGCTTCCTCTCCTGGACTATTAACTTCAGGCGTTTTATCCGCTCTCCAGAGCGGGAGATGAAGTCAGGTCTGTGAAACAGAAGTGATTCCTGAGGAGAAAAAGCCCCCATCCTCACATTAATGATGCAGTCTGCTCTCTAAGGGCATAGAAAAACAGGACCTGACCAACAGATTTAAAGAGTCTATTTCTAAAGCTATTTTCTATTCTATTCTATTCTATTCTATTCTATTCTATTCTTTTCTATTCTATTATTGAAAACTAGAGGCCTGGTGCACAAGATTCGTGCAGGGGGGGCCCTCAACCCGGCCACACCCTCTTGCAGTCTGGGAGCACTAAGGGGATGTCCAACTGATGGCTTAGGTCCGCTCCCAAGCAGTCAGTCAGACAGCCTTAGCGCTGTCATGGAGGTGGGAGAGGCTCCCGCCACCGCTGCACTTGCCAGCCATGAGCTGGCTTCTGGCTGAGCGGCATTCCCCCTGTGGGAGCACACTGACCACCAGGGGGCAGCTCCTGTGTTGAGTGTCTGCCTCCTGGTGGTCGATGTGCATCATAGTCACTGATTGTTCTGCTATTAGGTCGATTTGCATATTACCTTTTTATTATACAGTGGGGATAATTGATGCTAATTAGGAACTTAATAGACAATTAAACTCAAAGGTTAAAGTATTGAGTTGCCATCTAGATAATCATAAAGTAAATTTTTCAAAAAATCTACTTTCAACACTTTCTTATTT